AAAGGTGCAAACTTTATGGTGTTTATGGTCTCATGCATGTATTAAGTCTTCTTGAGCTTTAAGAGCTTCATTAAGCCATGCATGCACGTAAAGTTAGCAACTTTACTTGATAAATCAGCCCAAGGAAGTCAGATCTAAGTTTTGGAGTGATGTCTTAATCAATTAAGAGCTGGAAATGAAAGTTGGCTGAATGAGGGAGTACTTTGTGTGTACAAGCAAGTACGCTTAGCGTACAAGCCCTAAGGCAAGTACGCTGCACGTACGAGTTGAGTACGCCCTACGTACTCATCAGGTTGGGACTCGGAATCTTGGGTCTTCGGTTTGGGCCATTTTTGGACTTAGATGCTTAGGGCCTTGTTGGGACATCAGATTTTTGGGTTGATGCTTGTTTTGGGTTTGCTTGGAAAAGGCCCATGAAAGGAATTTGGGCCTAATTTGGAAAATTGGGCCATAATTGGGCTTGGAATGATTATTTTGGAATTTTGGGCTTTTGGACAATTTGGATTGGGCTTGGGCCTTGGGCCAAACATAGGGAAGGGTAAGAAGGTCTTTTACCCTAGTTTAGACTTTGTGTGAGTTGGGATCCAATTATTAATTTGATGATTATTTTGTGATTGATAGCGCGAGGATTTTAGCGGGCCAACAACCAGAGATTCTTTATGTGAGATTCGACAGTGCGAGGTGAGTTTCCTCACCATGTTTAGCGGGTCGAAGGCACCAATGTCGGCCCATGACCTGTTATGTTAGAATACTAGATGTATGTGTGACTCATGTATGCGTATGTGCTTGTATGCTTACTGGGCGGGGCCCGATGGTTATTCTGTATGTTATTACCTGTTATACTTATATGAATTTGGATGTGGGCGGGTTCCGTTATACTCATTGGGCGGGGCCCGTTATGCGAGTTTGGTCGGGGCTCGTTATACTCATTGGGTGGGCCTGTTATGGGAGTTTGGGCGGGGCCCGTTATACTCAATGGGAGGGGCCCGATATGCGAGTATGGGCGGGGCCCGTTACACTAATTGGGCGGGACCCATTATGTGTTATGTATGTATGGTATGTGGTATGTTGGGGAACTCACTAAGCTTTTTGCTTACGGTTTTCAGTTTATGTTTCACGTACTTCCAGTTCCAAATGGAAGAGTTCGGGATGATTGCAGAGCACACACCACCTGTTTCCGCATTTTATTGATTTACTCTGATGTGATATGATGATTGATACATTTGTTTTATCTGGATTTTTATGATGATGTTTTTGGGGGACTGGATTTATTAATTGAAAAATGAAATTTTTGGGTCTTATTTTTGGGACGTTGCAATTGGCTTAGCAGATTTGGAGCTTTGATTGATTGTGAGGGGCAGCAATGGTGGTTTGTACCCCAAGTGGGGGAGAGCTCACCATTTATGGCGATGATACCATGGGCAGTTTAGTGTTTTGTTCGGCCGTTAGGGCTAGGCAGTACCTCCAACATAGGTGTTCGAGTTATCTTGCTTATTTGGTTGATACACAAGATGATGGGAAGAAGTCAGTTTCTGATGTACTAGTGGTTAGGGAGGTTCCTAATGTCTTCCCGGAGGATCTACCCGGTGTGCCTCCTGTGAGGCAAGTGGAGTTTCAAATCGATTTGGTTCAGGTGTGGCCCCAATCGCTAAGGCGTCATATCGCATTGCACCACCTGAGATGCATGAGTTGTATTCTCTACTTTAGGAGCTGTTGGGCAAGCTGTTCATTCGCCCGAGTATCTCACCTTGGAGAGCGCCAATATTAGGGGCGGTACTGATGCAACGTGGTAGAGTGGTTGCTTATGCATCGAGGCAACTGAAGCCTCACGAGGCTAACTACTCTACTCACGATATGGAGTTGGGGGTAAATATTTTCTCCCTCAAGATTTGGCGACATTACCTTTTATGGGGTCTGTTGCACCATCTACACGGATCACAAGAGTGTGAAGTATCTTATGGACCAACCAAATTTATGTTGGATTAGGTGTCTAAGCCCATAACTATAATTGGTATATACTTGAATTGATAGTGACATGATCCTTTTGGGTTGCCTTCACACCAACCAAATTTATGTTGGATTAGGTGTCTAAGCCCATAACTACACAGGATGATTAATTGAGGAAGAGGAAGAATTTATTAATTAGATTAATAAATTGGAATAAATAATTTATTAATATGTTATGGAAATAATATATTAATTTGTAATCATATTATTAATTAATATTTAATCAGTAATTAATTTGGCATTAATTTTGGGATTAAATGAATTAACTAAAAGTGCAAGGACTAAAAGTGTAATTGTTCAATAGTTTAGTAAAAAGGTCCAGAACCTTCCTAGGGAAGGTGGTGGACGAAATTGATGTGTATGTATAAGATTATTCTAAAGTTTCTAGAATATCTTATCATATATGGATAATCAAAGGAGGTGGATAATTACCATATTTGAGATAATGATATTTTATTCATATTAGGGGTATCCATAGCATCTTTGGTGCACTATATAAAGGGTTCTAAACCCTTTGATTTTCGGCCACTCTTTAGAAGAAGTAGAAACCGAAAATTTGATCTCTTCCTCCTCTCTCATATCATTCTCTTGCATTGTGTGTTTGTGAGCCATTAGAGGTGTTACACTTGTGACACTAAGTTCTCAAGCTTAAAGATCTACAAGGGAATCATTGTTATTACAATATAACAATCAAGGTATGTAACCAAACCCTAGTTTTATATAGATTTCGTAAATTGTAGTTGCTTCCTAGGGTTTCTCCTTTTGTGTTCAAGTTTGCATGTTCAATTAGAGAAAACTTATATCCAAAGCATTAGGGTTGCATGCACACATAGGAATTGTTGTAATGCTCAAAACCCATCGGTGGTATCAGAGCCTAGGATTAGTTTTCTATTAAATATGATGCAGTTGTGAATTGTTCGAAGGAGAAAGAAACACAATCGTCATTTTGTTCATCGAACTCGTCGGGTTGATCTTTGAACTCGACGAGTTGGCATGCAAATCGACGTGGTAATTGCCCAACTCGACGAGTTGCACTGTCAGATCCTATATTTTCGGTTTTGATAATTGTCTCATGGATTGATTAGGATAATTACCTTAAATCCGTTTTAATTGTTTAAAAATAGATATTTTAATCAGTAATTTTGTATCCTTATCATGAATTCATGATTGGGTTAAATTTTTTGATAAAGATAAAATTAATTTGTTAGTTTAATTATTAAAAAAAAAAATAACCTAGAATTTTTGAAAGTTTTTAGAAATACATCCTTGGTTTTAAAATTTAAAAATTTAAATTAAATAGTTTAATTTTGAAATTTTTAAGTTTAAGAACCCTAGTATTTTAAATAAAATACACCCTTATATATATTGTAAAACTAAAAGTTAATATATATATATATATATATATATATATATATATATATATATATATATATAAGAAAAATCAGTCTTACCGTTAGTAGGCCTCATTCACGAAGCCGATCTATAAGCGGGGGTATAAGGAAACTGCCTATAAAATGGCGGTTGAATGGGTGTCCACTTTCACCCACCGCTTCCTTGATTGGTGGAGGGTCGTTAGCCGAACGGGTTTGATAGGACACTTAATTCTCATTAATAAGTATAATGGAATAAAAAAAGTAACTAAACATTTTTCTAATAAATCTCACTCTTAGTTACTTTATGAAAAATGTGAATTTGATGCTAACCATGAAATTGCACATTGCACCTTAATGGTCGTTAGTGGAGCGTGTGTGGTTAACCGACACAATGATATGGGACTAATATTGTTGGCAATGGGTGTCTTGTAAATTATTATTGATTAATGGAGCGTGTGTGGCTAACTGACATATTAATTAGATGATAAATGACATCAAGAGCACCAAGTTAATTTGCATAGTTATTCACATTTCGTTTGTGACCCTCGACATCCCAATCACAAAGTGAGAGCATAATCGAGATTAAACATGTCTTTGAATAGTTCAATAAATCTCAAAAGATGTAGGAGTTTCATAAGACTGAAATTGGTAAATGCTTTACCTACCTAAAATAGATTCGAATTTGATTACATAATATAACAATTAATTTATTTAATTAATACATAATCATACATAACACGACAAACACGAAAAACACGACAGACAAATGCTAAATTGTGTCAATTTCGTGTCGAATTTTGAACACGAACACGACACGACACGACATCGTGTTTTTTATACTTGACACGAACACGACACGAACACAAATTCGAATTTCAGTTTCGTCCTAATTTCGTTTTGTGTCGTGTATTTTTTCCGTGTTGCCTGCTTTGTGGTACTTAGGCACTGCATCTCATAACTCTTATAGGTTGTAGGCTAAATTACATCAATCGTCCCCCGTGCACATGTCAGAAAGCGTGTTTAGTCCCTATTTTCAAAAATTAACTCGGACAGTCCCTCGTTTGTTTAAAATTTGCACACTTCATCCCTGATATGCAATTTTGTTGCAATTTTAGTCCATGTCAGATTTGAAATGACCATAATACCCTTTGTGTATTTTTTCCAATTAATTTAATGTTATTATTGTTATTTTTAATTTATATATATATATATATATATATATATATATATATATATATATATATATATAGCCCACCCACCCCCACCAGCAACCATGTCTCCTTCACTACCATAAAACAGAAACTTTTAGTCACACTTCACCGACGATTTCAAAAACCTGCAACTTCGACCAGATGCAAGAATTATTTTTTGAAAATCATTTGCATAAATCTAAACCCAGATCTCCAAATCTAAAACCAAAATACTTGGAATTTGAAGATATAACAATTTCGATTTTGAAGTTTGATTCACAAATCGTTTGAACAAAATCCCCATAACTCGTTTTCATGTTCTTGAGTTCCAGAAATTCTTAAGTAGATGTTAAAACTCTAACTCCTCCTTTATTAGTCAAAATATTGTTAGTAAATCTTGAAAACCTAACTGCGGCCATATACAGAAATCATGGTCAGTGTTCTTCGTTGTTTTTTCCATAAATCATGGTGGCTGGTTGTCAACGGTGTTCTGAAAGAAGATAGGGTGAAAGTAGGTAGTGTGGTAGTGATCTAGATAACCCGAGAGAAGAGAGGCACAGAGAAGAGAGACACAGAGTAAGCGGTGGACCAGATCACCATAATTGTAGAGAAATTGAGTTGGTTTATGGAGGAGATGAAGGCGGTTTCTGACGGAGTTATGATTTCTTGTGCGACATCACTAAGGTTGGCAGGTGGCCGTCGGAAACAATCACCATTTTACACTCCCGCCACCCCTTACCTCCACCCTTACCTCACCTCACCCGATCTGCTCTCCTTTTCCTTCATCTGATCTTACTCCTATCATCATCTCCGACCACCCCAAATTGCACCTTTCATCTCCGGTTTCCAAATCTGAAACCTGTAACTCAAATGGTTCCATTTCCAAATCTGAAACTGGAGAGACGCAAGTACGAGATCAAAATAGGGGAAACAGGAGAAGAGAGTAAGATTACTTGGCCGGTGTCTTGGAGTCGATCTCCTCTATTTGAAAATGGAGATGTCCAGGAGTTTCTGAAGGAGTTGCCGGAGCATTGAAGTCGGTCGTTGTGAGTGGTGACGGAGGATATGAGCCGTACCGAAGAAGAAGAAGGGGATGGGAGACGAGTGATTGCCCATTTCTTTTTTTTTTTTAAATGCAATAATATTTATTTTGTATAAGAAACAAATCAATAAATAATTAATAAATAACAAGTAAATAGAAAATAAATAAAAAATAAATAAATAAGGGTAAAATGGTCTTTTTATGTGCGGAGGGACTAAGCAAGCAAGAAAACACAAAACAATGGACAGTCCGAGTTAATTTTTGAAAATAGGGACTAAACACACTTTCTGGCATGTACACGAGGGACGATTGGTAAAATTTATCCTAGGTTGTATATATAATTATATATGATCTGGAGATGATTGTATCATATAGACATACACTACATATATTGGTTATATGAAACTAATATGATCAAATGGGTACACACAGTGATGTTGCTAACCTTATAAATTTTTAAAATAATATACAATTAACGGTTGTTACATGTAATTTTTGTATAATCATATACGGCATATATGTGTGTGTGTTTTTTTTTTGGCTTCACCCCTATTAATATGATTGATGTTTTTCCTCGTGAGGCATCGAGCTTTTCTTGTTTTTTATTAAACATCAAATTCACATTAAATTCATTTTATGATAAAGCTCCTTATGTTAGTCATGTATTTCGAATACAACATGATTTTTTTTCAAGAAGATAAACAATTGCTTTTCAATATTTAACTTTTATTAGTTGTATAATAATCTTCTAAATCTCCATTTTATTTCTTTAGATCTCTCTTTTAATAAGTTTTATATCATAATTGTTTAGTTGTCAATCCAATTAATTATCTTTTTATGTTGTACTTATTCATTATATTATATATTGTCGACATTTGACAATTCGTTATTTGCATTTTCAATGACGTGATTAGATATTATAAGTCCACATCATCATGCTATGTCAAATACTCTTTTATTTTAAATAAAGATTGACATTTTTTGTTGTTTAGAGTTTCTTTAACAACAATTATGAAACAATATTTTCTACCCAACAACAATATTTGAGGGTTTTATCAATTTACATTCACATCCAATATACATAAATCAACATTAATTTTCATCTAAATGTATTCAGGAGAGTTTCTTCGATAAGCTTTTTAACCACAAATTATCGTCACATCAACAAACCATAAACATTAACATAAAGTTGTTTCATAAAACTTATTTATGCATCCTACCAATAGTTTTTAATTTTGTGATTAATATGATAAAAAATAATTAACATTCTTAAATTATAAAAAACATTTCCATGAAGGCATGAACCTTGCAAGCTTACAAGCACTTTAGAAAGTTTTGAAATAAAAAACTTTCACAAATCACAATATATATATTTTTATTTTACCAAATTTATTGATTAAAAAACTTTTATTAGACGATGATTGTTTATTCACATGACACATTGTTTTTCTGAGGGGATTTAAATGTTTTATTAAAAAAATAATTGATTTGAACGGCAGTTTTTTTTTTTCGTAAAGCAGAATTCGGGTTGGACACCAAGAATATGGCGGGGAGTAATAGCAGGAGTGGCCGCAAATCGATCGACGTGCAGATCGGTTTGTCAACGGCGTCACGACAGAAACCAGGTTAAGCATGGAAAAGCCTGCATCCGTCGTCTCTCGTCATATTCCTTGGATTTTCTCTCTTTCTCTCTCGGAATCACCTCTAGGGTTTAAGATTCTCGCTTTTTTCTCATTCATATTTCGGAAATTCGCCCCAGCTTTCTTCCTATTCATTGTATTCGATTTCGATCGCCTTTCGTAGAGAAAAAGAAAGCGTTTGTGGAGAATTTTCGGAGTTGAATGGAGAAATATAATTTTGTTGGATTCAATTCAACATTTGTTGTGCTCCGGGATCCGTTCATTGTTGCGCAGAATTAACATCAGGTTGTTTTTGAATTTTGATCGCGTGTGCTCAAAGCGAAAATCGCGTCAGAATCCTTTTCAGATCTGCAAAATATCAGGTTATTTTCTACAGAATCCATTCGAGGGAATCATTTTCGTGAAAGAGGGTTGCTATTTGTGTAATTTTTGATACACGATCTAGGTTTGGTGCTGGATTCATCTGGTTATATGATCGATCAAGGGGCACGAAAGAAGAGCATTAACAATATTGTTTATCTATTTATGGTCCCCTCGATATCTCAGTTAGTGGGACCTTGGGTTAGAAAATAAGATTATTAACTTTTGGACAGACAAATCGTTAACTCCTTCGTGATCGTTTTGAGTATTTAAGAGTTGATTAGCTCTCTCTACGCACTTAAATTCGAATTAACATTTCGTACCAATAACGGTAGACAAATTAATTCCTCTCTTCAAGTCCATCAAATCGCTGTCTGTGGATTAATTATAGGGTTTATGGATTCAGCCGAAACGTCTACAAGCAGTAATTATAGTATGAGATCTGATAACATGCGTGGTGGTGCATTTCGTAATGGCAACATTGATCAGCTCGATGATGATTCACCATATGGTCAAAGCTCTCCTTCATTAATGGATCCATCTGTTTCTCCTCAAAATTCGATTCTACCTTCACGAGGCTGGGATGACATCTCTGTGTACAATGCAAAGAAGGTAACCCTCGTCACAGCTCTTTCACATGTTTTCTCTCCTATGCACAATGAACTTGGACATATACAACAAGTCGTCCTAAATCATCTCTACTGTTTCATTACATCCCTACTGCAAAACAGCAATCAGTTTATTTTTCGTTTTGAGCAGAAGTTGTTTATGCATTTAATGTTCCTTGTTCTAATAATACAGAAGCAGCATGCTTGGTTTCAAGCCCCTGATGGGAACTGGGAACTTGCGAGGATTATATCAGTTACAGGGGATGAATCACTCATATCTTTTGCTGAAGGAAAAGTAAGTGACCTTATGGATTTTTAAGTACTTTCTTGTATATGTAAAGATGAAGCAATAAGCTTTGATGTCTTTCTTCTCAATCTAGGTATGTAAGGTGCCATCTGATGTTCTATTACCTGCAAATCCAGAAATCCTTGATGGGGTAGCTGATCTCATGCAACTAAGTTATTTGAGCGAACCATCCGTCTTGTATAATCTTCAATATAGATATGACAGAGACATGATCTATGTAAGAATCAGCAACTCTTTAATAGTTTGAACTTTGAATGTTACTTTTGGAATGAAGCTTCTGATGATGTATTTTTCAACATTCTAGTCAAAAGCGGGACCCGTTTTAGTTGCCATCAATCCCTTCAAGAATATTCCTTTGTATGGAAGAGATTATATTGATGGCTATAAGAGGAAAAAAATCGGTCACCCTCATGTATATGCCATTGCTGATACAGCAATCCGGGAAATGATTAGAGGTTGTTTCTTATATTTCTTGTAAAGTTCTTTATTCAGTCTTTCAATCGACTTTTGACCATGTTTTTCTTGACCCCCTTTTTTTTTTTTTTTCAATTTTATAGATGAAGTCAACCAAGCTATTGTCATAAGGTTATTCCTACTATCCTAATTGAACTCATTGTTTGGTACCCTTTTAATTCTGCCTAATTTGTACCTTTTTTTTTCTGCTTAGTGGGGAAAGTGGAGCAGGGAAAACCGAAACAGCAAAAATAGCAATGCAGTATCTAGCAACAGTTAGAGGGGGTAGTGGAATAGAATATGAGATATTAAAAACTAATCCAATTTTGGAGGGTTTTGGCAATGCAAAAACATCAAGAAATGACAACTCAAGTCGTTTTGTAAGTGTTCACTTTTTCTGTATTTTTCTTTAGGCTTTATAATATTTCCTTAATTTCTCGTGTGTATATTCCAGGGGAAACTAATCGACATCCACTTCAGTGAAAACGGAAAAATATCGGGTGCAAGTATCCAAACATGTAAGATGTCAACATTTCCCTAAAATCATTTAATTAAAAAAAAAAAAAATTAAGTTCGTATTGAAGTAGTAATACTAATTGCTTTCAACTTTGTGATTTTTAATTTGTTGCAGTTCTTCTTGAAAAGGTATTATTATGATCTTCAATTATTTTATATCTATCCCTTTAATTTTCAAATTAGAAGCTGCTTCCCTAATCTGTATATAATCAGTCAAGAGTTGTTCAATGCGGGGAAGGCGAAAGGTCATATCATTCATTTTATCAGCTTTGTGCAGGAGCTCCACCTTCTCTTAGAGGTAACAATTTCATAATTGTATCCTCTTTTGTTATCTATCAGTCAAGAGTTGCGATTGTTTTCAGTTAATTTGTCATTTATGTTTTGTACAGAGAAAATAAATTTGAAGAATGCTCATGAGTACAAATATTTGCAGCAAAGCAATTGCTACACGATTCCGGGTGTTAATGATGCTGAACAGTTTCGTATTGCAATGGTAGTATACCCAAAAATCTGAATAATCAACAATCTTACACTTGTTTTTTTATTAAAAAATATCAAGTGTTTTCATCTTCACAAATTTTCTTTACTTCAGGACGCTTTGGATGTTGTTCATGTCAGCAAAGAGAACCAAGAAAACGTTTGTGAAATGCTTGCAGCAGTTTTATGGCTGGGAAATGTAACATTTTCACTTGTTGATGATGAAAACCATGTGGAACCTGTGGTTGATGAAGGTAATACATACTATTTGGTCACTATACTTTAAAAAAAAAAAAAACTCATCAAGGCATTCTACTTTCATTTATTAACATATAATAATGTCAATGACAGCTCTTCAAACTGTTGCTCGATTGCTTGGGTGTCGGATTGAGCAACTACAGCTTGCTTTATCCTCTAGGGAAATGAAAGTTCGTGGTGAAAACTTTATTAAAAAGCTAACCCTAGCCCAGGTAAGGAAATTAATAGATACAAACAGTGTATGTATAAAAAACAATTAATATTATGAATTTATGATCACTGAAAACCCTTCATTTTTTTCAGGCAATTGACGCAAGGGATGCATTGGCAAAATCGATATATTCTTCTTTGTTTGATTGGTTAGTGGAACAAATCAACAAGTCACTTTCTACAGGGAAACACATGACAGGAAGATCAATCAGTATTCTTGACATCTATGGATTCGAGTCATTTGATGTAGGTTTATTTTCATTTCTCCTTTTTGTATATATATATAGTTAAACAATTAACCTTTCTTCTGTTGACATTTCTAGGTAAATAGTATCGAACAGTTCTGCATTAATTATGCAAATGAGAGATTACAGCAACACTTCAATCGTCATTTATTCAAGTTACAACAAGAGGTAACTAATCTAATATCAATCTATCTGCATGCTCTCACAATCTACATATCTAATTATTCTATCTATCTGGTGTCTGTTTATTAGGAATACATCCAAGATGGAATCAACTGGGCAAAGGTGGATTTTGAGGACAACCAAGCTTGTCTGAATCTTTTTGAACAGGTATCCAGACTTCCTTGTTTTCTATCTTAGGGGCTGTTTTTGCTTTTTGACTTAACGGGCTTAATGGGTTAAGCACATAATCTGTACAGCTATACATGGTTGTTTCTTTTTCACTTAATCTGGAGTGAATGACTTCATGGGTTAAGCCCAAAAACTTGGCTTAATGAATTAAGATTTGTGTCTTTACAGAAACCATTGGGATTGCTAAGTCTGTTAGATGAAGAAACGACATTCCCAAAAGCAACAGACTTGTCACTTGCCAACAAATTAAAGCAGCACTTGAGTTCTAATCCATGTTTTAGAGGAGAACGAGGCAAAGCGTTCACAGTTCATCATTATGCTGGAGAAGTATGTTATGAATATAATACTTAGTATTGTTTTGCTATCTAATATCTAATACTTATGTTGTTTAAAAATTGGTTGTTTCACAGGTTAAATATGACACAACAGGGTTTCTGGAAAAAAACCGTGATTTATTGCGAATTGATTCCATTCAACTTCTATCTTCTTGCACATGTGAACTTCCTCAGATATTTGCCTCAAATATGCTTTCTCTTCAATCTGAAAGTCCTTCGATTGGTTCAGTAAAGAAAGCAGGTGGAGTTGATTCCCAGAAGCTTAGTGTCATGTCAAAGTTTAAAGGCCAATTATTCCAGTTAATACAATGTTTAGGGAACACAAGATCTCATTTCATACGTTGCATTAAGCCTAACAACTTACATTCTCCTGGAATCTATGATCAGCAACTTGTTCTCCAACAGCTAAAATGCTGTGGTGTTCTAGAAGTTGTTAGAATATCAAGATCTGGATTCCCAACAAGAATGACACATCAAAAATTCGCAAGAAGGTAAACTTCTAATCACATTCAATTCTTCCATTTTTTTTATTATTCAAACATAACCTTTTCCTTTTGTTTTACCTTTAATAGGTATGGTTTTCTTCTACTCGATAATGTTGCATCACAAGATCCACTAAGTGTATCAGTTGCCATTTTAAATCAATTCGGCATTCTTCCTGAAATGTTTCAAGTTGGCTACACAAAACTGTTCTTTCGAACTGGACAGGTAACAGGTTTCACTCCTTCCTTCCTTCCTTCAATTATCTATTACTTAAACTGTATGCCTATTTTTTCTTGCCAGATCGGAAAGCTTGAGGATACAAGAAATCGTACTTTGAATGGCATATTACGAGTTCAAAGCTGTTTCAGAGGTCACAAAGCTCGTCATTTGCTCAGGGAGATGAAACGAGGAATTCACACTCTTCAGTCATGTATACCTTTGACTCTCATTCCAAAAACAAATTATTGAATTCAATGAACAAATTGCAATCAGGTGATTACATTTTAGTTGCATCGTTCTTCTACAGTTATTCGTGGTAGAGAAGATAGAAAAAGGTTCGCTATCTTACTACACAGACAACGAGCAGCTGTGACTATACAAAAATGGATCAAAGGAGGAATAGTCAGAAAAGAATTCAAAGAATTTAGTGATGCAGCAGCTGTGGTACAAGGAGGTAATATAATTGTACCAATTCGTTTTAACTTTTATAAATTGACGCGCATGAAGAACATCAAACCTGTACGTTTTCAGTGATCCGAGGATGGCTAGTTCGGAGATGCACAGCAGACATTTCGCTGGTTCAATTTGGATCTGGAAAGGTATGAACAGAAGGACGATTTTAGGGTTACGATTTTTGTATCCAGACGATTTTAGGGTTATGATTTTTGTATGAACAGAACGAAGACGATGTGGTGGTGAGCAGAATGTATCTTGCAGAGCTACAACGACGGGTTCTTAAAGCGGAGGTCGGTGTACGAGAGAAAGACGAAGAACGGGAAATGCTATTGCAACGGATCCAACAATACGAGACCCGTTGGTCGGATTACGAGCAAAAAATGACATCCATGGAGGAATTATGGCAGAAACAAATGAACTCATTACAATCAAGCCTCTCCCTCGCAAAGCAGAGCCTCAGCAATGACGACGACGCTGCTCCGCCACCCGTGAGAACCAACGAGATCCAAAACGGCGGAGCGAGCGAGATGACGGCGGGGTTGAGTTTGATAAGTCGGTTAGCGGAAGAGTTTGAGCAGAGAAGCCAAGTGTTTGGGGACGATGCGAGGTTTTTGGTGGAGGTGAAGTCGGGTCAAGCTGAGGCCGATTTGGACCCGGAACAAGAACTGAGAAGATTGAAACAGGTGTTTGAAGGGTGGAAGAAGGATTATGCGGCGAGGTTGAGGGAGACGAAAGTGATTTTGAACAGGTTGAGCAGTGAAGAAGCTAGTGGTGGTGATAAGGTTAAGAAGAATTGGTGGGGAAGACTCAACAGCTCACGGGTTAATTAACTTTTCTCTTTATAACATCTTAGTTTCAGATCATATTTTGGTTTTGATTGACTTTTGCTTGCAATGGGTTTCATGGTGTTATGTTTTGCATGGAAATTGGCAGTTATTTTTTTTTTTTTTTTTAAGCCAAAAGAAGTAAAAGTCTAAAATTAAATAAAAATCTTTTTAAAGTTTTGAATTTTGAATTCTTTAGAATATCTGTGTATATGCCTGTGACATGTCAATATGTCATATTATTTATAAATTATATGTTGAGAGAATTTGTACGTGTTTTTTTAGTCTTTATTTGATGTTTCTTTCATTTTTTTGTAATGAATTTATGATCTTTTGTCTTATCCTGAAACATTCTTGATTTTATTTTGCAGGGTAGCTTTAGTCTCTATGATTGAGGAATATGATAAGCAAATTGGTGACGGAATCTTCTTCTACTTGTAAATTGTCTTGTTTCTTTAATTACCAGCCGACTCAAATCATTGTAAAAGGTTAAACATTTGATTGTAGTGTACCCTGGGCCTGGGGCTTTGTTTATCTAACAAATCATTCTCCCTCCCTTCCGCTAGTAGAGTGCTTGGTTTGAAACATATATGGCTCAATGCTCATGTGATGTGGCAATCATTCCCAAACATGACATGCTCTCCTTTTCTTGCCTCATCATGTCTATCCTTACCATTATGCAGAATAGGGTTCGCTTCAATGTGTATAGACTCGTCTTCCTTATAGGTGATGCAGATGGATACCATGTCATGGACACCACCAGTGTCATGGGTAGAATCGATGTTGCCCATGAAGTCCGAGTCGTATACAAGACCAATATTGTTTCTAGGTTGTAAACATGACTAGTGTAGTAGATGACGCGATCAACATCAATAGGCTCAATATCTTCTTCTTCGAGGTTCTTACCTGCTCATAGGGTTGGCAATCCAAACCCGTCAACCCAATCTTAACCCAACCTAGTATTTATTTAGCAGAATAGGTTGAGTTAGGGTTAAAATTCTCAATCTGTTTACAACATGCCAACCCTTTTAAAATTCTAAATATTTTTTAATTTATAGTTATTTAGTATTATTATTTAATTGATTGATTATTATATCTTGATTGGAAATTGAATTGCATAGAATTTAGAAATTAAAAATCTTTAATGTTTTATATGGTAAATACATTATTTGGGTTTGTGTTATAGACTTATAAACTTATGGTTGTATTATTTTCAAACTTTGATAATTATTTGAGTTTTTAAGTTTTATATAATTTCATTTGAAGGATTAATTGATTTTTAAAATGAGTCAACTCGTGTTCAATCTGTTTATTAAAAATGATGGGTTGGGAAAACATTAAACGGGTCAACCTGATTTCAACTCATTCACTAAAAAGATTAAGTTAGGTTGGAAATTCTCTAACTTATAAGATTTTTAAGACATTTATATTATGTTCTTTTAGACGGACACCCTTTGAAATCATGACTAATATGTGTCTAATGTTTTTATTTGTTTCTATTTTTCGTTATCTTTTACGACATGCTAAAACTCAACATGTATGAAAGGCTTTTTGTTTTCTTTTTCGAATACTTTTAGCGCTTTCTTGGAAACCGTCGCATCATTTTCTCCGTTTTTCCATTGACCCTCATGTTGTTAAATAAATCATTAAACATCACTTCTTTGTTTGTTTTCCTACACTTCAAGTATATTTGGTCTTTCTTTCGGTATTCTCCTTGAATCATTTGTTTGTGGAAATGTCTAAGAACTCGCCTCCAAAAATTGGACTTTTTGGTTGTTTCCCACTTTCGGATCCTTAGATATTCGACCCTTGCACATGCCAATGCTTCCACTTCTTTTAGTAAAATTGGATGATGAAGGGTATTATTTATAATAGGAAAGAAAGTAAAAAAAATGAATTTAGAAAAAAAATGGGCAGAAAATTAGAAGGAGAGCGTGAGAAAGAGAACCATGGCATCTAATTGTCACGACTCAACTCAAGCCACATACCCTAGCCGACACGACTACCGTGGCATATTGTGGTTTATGCCACAATCACTCCGCTAGCTTTAGCTTCTTGTAAGAGAAGCAAGAAGTATTTGGTAAATGTAAACTTTACCTTTAGGGCCCTACATCAAAGCAAAGGTTGAGTTTATCAATAATCAAATGTAAATAAGCAAAAAATTGTATCAAAAAATTAAATTAAAGAGATTTTCTAACATATGTCCTAAAGGCACGTATAAGAAACATTAATTAAAACAAATATTACCATAATTAAATATAAAATGCAATAATTATAAATAATATTATCATAATTAAATGTGAAATCTATTAATAATAATGTATTTTACATTTAATTGTGGTAATATTTTTCATAATTAATACTTTTAATATGTGTCCTAAGGATACATATTAGAAAATCCCTAAATTAAATTCAACCAAGTTGTAGAGAGCAATTTTTATCACTCATTGTAAGTTTTGTAAAGAACAAGCTTCGATCCACCTTTTTGGATCGAGATCTTCAAGCATAACCATGGTTCCATTAAAACTACAGGATTAAACAAACTGTCATTAAAAAGAACAAAAATGAGAAAAACATTATTCCTTGTACCTTTGCTCTAATGTTTCTTCACCTTTAAAATAAGAGTGAATGATGGTGAATTGAAATTCCGCTTATGAGCTATATGGTTATCGCATGTTGCTTAATTTGTCAATTATTATATAACAGGTTTGTAATCGGTCTTTTAAGAGTTGTGCACATCTTAAATTTTCAGATCTTGTGCGTTGAAATTTTGAATATTCAAGTTGAATACTTAAACGGTAAAATAGATTCAATAATAAATTGGGGTTTTTGACTCAAGTTCTCGAATAAGATTACTAAGTCTTAGCATTGCCAGGTAGTACCTAAAGTTTAGCATATTGTAGCTCTTATAAATTCAAGAATTTTTTTGTTCTAACGATTTAAATGATTTATTATATAGTAAAGATTATATATAATATTAGACTGTTACCCTTTAATGATTTTAACCCTTATGAGACTATGATTTTATTGATTAATAATAAACAATTGATTTAGAGACAATAGCTTCCTATGTTTGCATGAAACACGCCAATATATATATACATTAAAATATTTATTTGATTACCAAAAGCCATGTAACATGACATAAGTTGTAAGTTCTACCCATAATACTAAATGATTGCATAAATAGAAAGCATAATTTAATTTTAAAAAAAGAAAAACCTTCTAAATTCTAATAAGTAGTTGGGTATAAAAGCTCAGACTGCGTACCATTTCCATAGTCCATTGTGAAAGGAAATCCTTGGTAAAACAAAATCTCGACTTAAACTCCAATGGCGTCCTCTGCTACAACTTGTTCATCTGTTCTTCATCTTCTTCACAATGATACCTCAACCTCATCGTTATTATCTTCAAAGGGAATGCATCTTCGTTCCTCATCACTTTCCCTTCTATCTCCACGTAGAACTTCATCTCCATCTCCCATGATCCAATTTTCCCCAAAAGGTTTTGGTAAGATTTATAGCTCTTTCAACAACAACATTCCACATTCAATTTCTTCATTTTTTTTATTCATTCATACATACATAAGCAATAAGCAAGCGTCTGTCATGTCATGTCATCCTTATGTAAGGTTCAGGTTCAGCAAATCCACTGTTTGTTGCGACAGCAGAGAAGAAGAAATCGCCATTTCAAACAGAAGCTGTTCGTCAATTAACCGGTTCTGTGACCAAGACTGAGGGTTTCCGTTTTGCTATTGTTAGTCTCTGTTTTGCTTTCTTTCTCCATTTTCCCTCTCATCCTTGTGAAATTTGTGACTTTTTCATGACATGACATAGGTCATAGCAAAGTTTAATGAAATCGTTACAAGGCCTTTGATGGAGGGTGCTTTGGACACATTCCAGAAATATTCAGTCAGGGAAGAAGATGTTGATGTATGTATCTATATTTCTTTTCTTTTCTTAATTACCAAATCACATCATGTTAAACATCTTCTTAATGCCATTTGATTACCCTTTTTTATGCTACTAACGTTGTTGTGTTCATATTTTATTAGGTGGTGTGGGTTCCTGGTTGTTTTGAGATTGGTTTAGTTGCTGAAAAGCTTGGAAAGTCAGGGAAATACAATGGAATCGTGTGTATAGGAGCTGTGGTATGCAATAATATCTTAATTCTCACATGAAAAAATCATCACATTGATATATGTAAATTACATATTTATGTGATTTCATAGGTAAGAGGTGATACCACCCACTATGAGGAGGTTGCTAATTCAACTGCATCTGGAGTCCTTTCTGCTGGACTTAATTCAGGTTGTTTTTAACTTTATATTTAAATCCAAATACCAAAAATCAAAGGAGGTTGATATGTAAATATGTAATGACTAATGAATTATGATACTTACGTATTGTTTGTTACAGGTGTTCCCTGCATATTTGGAGTCTTGACATGTGAAAACATGGATCAGGTATATTTATAATTTTGGTAACTACCATGTTTAATTTATTTTTATAGTATTTATTTAAGATTTTGAGATATTATAATACTTAGCTTAACAAATGATCAGTTTCTAAAGTTGTATAAACATTGTATTGTTATAGGCCTTGAATCGTGCTGGTGGTAAAGTAGGGAATAAGGGTTCTGAGGCAGCTTTGACTGCTGTAAGTTTCTTTGACTGATGAATTTTTTTGTGAAATAAAAATTGCAAATTTTGTTGACTGAAATCTTTAAAATGTATTGCAGATTGAGATGGCATCTTTGTTTGGGCATCATTTGAAGGAGTAATAGTTTAATGTATTGCAATACTATTTCATCTGGTGAGGATCATGAGAATGCAAAGACAATTATTGCAGAAAAAAACATTGTACGGAAGCAAATCATGTTGTTTGAATAACTGGAAGAGTTGAATCTTTTTTTTTTTTTTGGGTTTTTCTTTTTGTGTAATTTGCTGGAAACTTTTGTGTCAAGGTATATGATGTATGTCAGCATGATAATGGAGACGATGCCAAGTGGAAAAATAAGAGCTGAGAATGGACTTGATTTAATAATTTTCCAGATTTTTATGCCATTCAGTTGCATTAGAAAACTTTGGTAATTAAATGACAATCATCAATGAATTACTGATAACTAGAATCATAAAAATAACACAAAGACATCCGTATGTATCAACCATGGATTTAACTTGAAAATAACATTCATTATATATCCATGATGTATACACCCTAAAATGAGGTTTACAAGAGTCTACGAGAGTCCCAAAGACGCAAAATGTCTACTTTTAGTTAAAATCGCATTTGAAATCGAAGTTGTCACCTGTCAGCGGTTTGAAACTTTGGATATATGCAGTTGATTGGTAGATTTCGTCCTCTAAACCAGCCATGACTCTCGCCCATGTGGTTTTCAAGCCCCAAAACCCCTTCTTGATTCATCTCATTCAAATCTTTCCTCTTTCTCATACACTCCCTCATTTTCTACTTCCTCTCTACTCCATAACCCGCCAAACGAATCGTTCTTACTACTCCTCTCTTCCTTCAGATAATCTTGTAACAGTAAACAAATTGATATCAATCTTCACGCAGAAACAACCCTTATCTTTGGTATCCACAACAGAGCTAACCAACTTTGGATCGAAGCTGACGACTGATGTTGTTGAAACTGCACTAAAAAGCTTCAAGAACTGGAAAACGGCGCTTAGATTCTTCAACTGGGCATCAACTCAAAATGGGTATCACCACAGCTGTTATACTTATAATGCCATGGCTTCTATCCTATCAGGTGCTCGACAAAATGCCGCAATGAAGGAACTGTCTATCAACTTGATAAAATCAAAGTGCTACATGAGCGCAGGTGCGCTAGGGTTTTTTGTTAGGTGTTTAGGAGGCCTAGGGATGGTTAACGAGGCTAATGAGTTGTTCGATCAAGTTAAGGAATTGGGTTGTGTTCCAAATAATTATAGCTATAATTCACTATTGGAAGCTATTTCCAAGTCAGGGTCTGTAGATTTAATGGCTATGAGAATGAATGAGATGAAGGATAATGGATGGAAGCCTGATAAGTATACTTTGACATCTGTGATTCAGTGTTATTGTAAAGCAGGCAAGTTTGAACAAGCTTTTGAAGTGTTTCAGCAGATTGATGAACTTAATTGGGTAGATTCTTACATTTTCACAATCTTGATAATCTCATTGAGCAAAGGGGGTGAGGTGGATAAAGCAATCTACTTGATTAACAAGATGGATGATTTCAAGATAATCTTGAACGAGAAAACCTTTTATGTTTTGATTCATGGGTTTGTAAAAGAAGGCAAAGTAGATTATGCTCTAACCCTATTTAAAAAGATGCAAACTTTAGGTTTTGTCCCTGAAATTTCACTCTATGCTGTACTCATTGAAGGACTTTGCAAAAGGAAAGAGCTTACAAAAGCTTTACAATTGTATTCTCAGTTGAGTAAAATGGGTATTCATCCTGATGTTAATCTACTCAAAGCTTTAGTATCTTCTTTATCTGATGAGAAAGAAATGATGTCCTTACTCAAAGAGGCAAAAGACTATCTCAACAAGACATCCATGACTACATTATGCAATGCTGCCCTTATTACTCTGGTTAAAAGTGGCTCAATTGATAAAGCATATCATCTCATTCAATCAATAATGAAGGATTATGATCATGTTCCCCTAGATGCCTCTTCTTTTGAAATTGTTATTGATGGTTTGATCGATAAAGGTAACTTGGATGTTGCCCTAGACCTCTTCAATGAAATGGATCAAATTGATTGTAAACGAAGTTTGCTACTTTACAATAACATGATCAATGCTTTAAGCAATGAAAAGAAAGTGGAAAAATGTCATGAGCTTCTGAAAGAGATGAAGGATTCTGGATTCCCACCATCACAATTCACACACAACTCCATATTTGGATACTACTGTAAAGTTGCTGATGTGGCAGGTGCCATAGACATGTTACATGAGATGCATACTCATGGGCATCAACCATGGATTAAACATTACACCTTGCTTGTGAAACAACTCTCAAGAATTTCCAAAGTTGCTGAAGCATCTAACTTTTTAACAATCATGGTGGATAAAGGTTTTTTACCTGACATGATTGTGTATTCTGCTGTGATTGATGGTTGGTTAAAGATTGGAGAATTGGATTATGCTTTGAAGATGTTCAAGGGTATTTCGGGTAATAAACATTGTCCTGATGTAGTTACATATAACACCATCATAAACGGTCTTTGCAAGGCCAAAAAGGTATCAGAAGCTAATGATATATATCAAGAAATGATACAAAAGTGTCTTATTCCATCTGTTGTGACATACAATCTACTGATAGATGCTTACTTTAAAAATGGTGACATTGATCAGGCGATTGGGTTCTTTAAGATGATGAGTCAAAAAGGAAGGAACCCTAATGTTGTTACTTACACTTGTTTAATTGATGGATTGTGTAATGTTGGAAGATCAGATGAAGCTTTGGTGATTTGGAATGAAATGTGTAGTTGTACTTCACCAAACAAGATTGCTTATATGGCTCTTGTTAATGGACTTTGTAAATGCAGGAAGCCAGATGAAGGTTTGATTTATTTTGAGGAGATGAAGGAGAAGGATATGAATGTGGATAGTTATGTGTATGTTGCATTGATTGAAGCTTTTGTTTCTGTATCAAATGCAGCCATGGGTGTTTGTGTTTTGAGAAAGATGATTGGGGATGAAAGGGTTCCTGATTTGGGTGATAAAAACTGTGGAATTTTGAGGGAGGTTGTGGTGAAATTGTTGGATGATGAATTGGTTTGTGAAGAAATTAGAAGATTAATTGAAGATGGTAGTGTTCCAATTCATTTGGTGCAAACATGAGAGGTGTAGTTTTAGGGTACTATAGCATATGCATATATACACTGGTTGTAACATTCCAATTTTAAAGATTTTTGTAAAAGGGAAATTATTAAGTGGAATCATATTTCTTTATGTGAAATATAATTTGGGATTCATAGTTGAAATTTGCTGTCAAGAAGCAAAGTTGTGGAGCTCGCTAAATACACCAACTTTTGTGAAGAAGCACATCGTTTAAGCGTAAAATCGATTAGGATCAAGTAATATGAAGTTTTTAGATTACTGTATTTCTATTAATTTGTTTTATAATATAAAAAATAGTTATTTTTTTTAATAAAACTCAAATGATTTTTATATAATAATAAATTAATAAACTAAGTGAACTATATATATATATATATATATATATATATATATATATATACACACACACACATATGTGTGTGTGTTGCGGAAAATTTGTTTATGTATAGCAGGTAAGATGTAATTTACAATAAAATAAATTTTGAATATAAATAAGAACACGCTTCTGGTTTGTGAAACAACTATAAAAATACGATTTTTTATAGTCTTACATGCATGAAAACCAATATATAAAAAAATAGAAAAAACTAATTTATAAAAACTGATAAGAAATTGATAGAATTCTCTATTTTGGTGATATTTTGTATTGGATAATCATGATTTGTTTTATCTGAACCATGAGATTTATGACGATTACAATATTGTAAGTTTCAAAACTGAACAATAGTTAACATAAAATTTGTTAAATTCATATGCATTCGAACGTCCATAAGGCATTATATTCCAATAGTATAATGTTGTAAAGGAAAATGAATTTTCAAACGGGGAATATGAAAATACCTAATGCATGTCATATCGATACAAATTTATATTATTATATAGATACAAATCACATGATTTTAATGATATATTTTGATATTCCAATTTATACCGAATATTAGGTAATAAAATTTGTTATAAGAAAATAAAAGAAGCTATTTAATTTAATTATAAAGAAAAAATAAAAAAAATAAAAAGTTATTTACATGAGTATGAATGTTTAAGGTGGTGATTATGAGAAAATAGATGCAGCATGGAGCTTGGAGATGTGACTTTAGAAAAGGCCTTATAAGAAAGAAGTAAGAATAAAAATAAATAATACAAGTACTATCCACATTTGCTAAAATGTTATAGATATATTATAATAATAATAATAATAAATAATACAAGTACTATCCACATTTGCTAAAATGTTATATATTATAATAATAATAATAACAACAACAATAATGATAATGTTATGTCAAAAAATGTTATAGATATATTACTCCAGTATTGTAGCCTTCCTTACGACTCACGACCAGCTAGACATCCACTCTGACGTCTGCACTCCACGAGACTCCGCTGCATTCAAGGTTTGTAATTGTAACTCAATAAACTCGAAATGAGATTTTCTTTTGCAACTCAATAGACAACATGTAACACCGTAATTTTTCAAACAAAAATTTCATTTTAAAATCGCATACTTTTCGTAACATACTGTATAGAAATCTCGTTTATTAAAATTTACAAAACACAACTTCATTAATAAGCCAGGATCCTCAAAACATGACTCTTTCTCTGGTGTGTACAATCAAGCCGGTGCCTTCCCGCGATCCTCTGAGATACCTGAAACACATAACACATAACACGGTAAGCACGAAGCTTAGTGAGTTCCCCAAAATACCACATATAACACATATTAGCCACTCGAGGCTATAACTCTGTGGGCCCACTGGCCCTAACTCTGTGGACCCTCTGGTCCTAGCTCTGTGGACCTTCCGGTCCTAACTCTGTAAACTCTGGAATACACACAGCATAAATCACATAGAAATAATGCAGTGCACACATCACATACATAGCATACAAGATACTCTGTCACATAACTCTAATTACCACTCAAGGTAAAGTATAGTGAGAAGACTCACCTGGCAAGCAGAAAGCAGCTATCCTCACACTTGAATCTCGAACTCGCCACCTCCTAACACATAGGATGAATATCTCTTATAATAACTCTTTTTCACGACTCAGATAATCGAAGGCGGTTCCCTCTCTTTCTAACTCTCTAAAGTGGGTAAAAGACCATTTTACCCTTCCAAGGCCTCTATTACTTATGTTTAGGGGTGAGCGTGGTGCGGTTTGGTGCGGTTTTTGGCCAAAACCGAACCAAAAACCGCAACTTCGGTTTTTTGAAGTTTAGAAACCGCACCGTTCGGTTTTATGCGGTTTGGTTTTTGCGGGTTTTTTTGCGGTTCGGTTTTTTTTGCGGTTTTTTGTCAATTATTTTATTTGGTTTTTGTTTGGCTTTTTTAATAAAACTCAGCAACTCAACGAGTTACTTTGACTCAGATGAGGAGTGTTAATCATTTCTTGAGAAACTTTATATAGAGATGAGGAGCGCCAGATTGACTCTCTTATATGAAACGTGAGGATCATGAAAGTTTTATCTCAAAGGTGATCAGGGATACTCTTATAAGACTGACAAAATTAAAGCTCAAATAATATCTTGGAGATGAACTGATACCACCACCTCTTGGTTTAAAATCAAAGAATATAACCACTCATCCAACATCTTCTAATGCTTGAATATAATACAAATTAAATATAATATTTATGAAGGCGATAATATCAATTAATGTATTAACAAAAATGATATTATCGTCACTAGTATTCTTCATATTTAAATGTTAAAAAATGTAATAAACATTATTTGTTCTTGTAAATATCACTATACGTATGCTTAAAAATATACAATCATCTTTTGATAAGATAGATATTTATATTTATAGATTTTTAATTGTCATGAGTTCTTAGTTCTTAGTTCTTAGTTCCTACTCGTCGAGTGCACCCATGCGACTCGTCGAGTCCCCTCGCCTCAGCTGAACTCTACCTAGGACTCACTCAGCTCGTCGAGTTGACTCCCAACTCGGCGAGCCAACACTAGGTCAAGATTACTCGGTCAAACCCGCTACGACTCGTCGATTCGCGTCATGGACTCGGCGAGTTGGCTCCCACAGATTTCTCATTCAGTCATTTGAGGTCAGATCTGCAACCCAAACTCATAGATCTAACCCCCTACTACCCAAAAGTCACGCAAAGGTCTGAACTTGAGGCTCATGCATGGTGTATTTTGCTCTATACACCATTTTGACTCCATTGAAGCTCCATAGCTTCAAAGCTCCAAGGCTACTCACTCAAGGTTGTCTACTTTCTGGATCCCTGGACCTCACAAGGTCCAGATCTACAATTGACTCGAAAAAGGGTTTGGATGCACCCAAAACCCCATCAATATGGATGCAAGCCCAACTTTACAACCAATGAAATCTACTCAAACACAATGGAGGCAAGAGTTGTACCAGATTTGAAGCTTGAAATGAAGATGAGACTGATCCACCAACTCTCCTCTGAGATCCTTGCAACTCCCTTAATCTTCTTCTCAAAGAAATGACCTCCAAGAAGCCTCTTTCCTCTCTAGCTCATAAATAACTCTAGGGTTTCTCTCAAGGGACGAAGACACTGTTGGGAAAGGGCCAAGGAGGCTATACGTGCCTTTAAATAGATCCCAAACCCCGGAGATTAGCGTTTCTCTGCCCAGCACCTACTCGGCGAGTCCCTCTCCTCGGACTCGCCGAGTCCACTCATTAAATCCACTGGAGAACCCGACTCGACTCGGCGAGTTGGACCCTCAACTCGTCGAGTCTCTCTTTTAATCATAAGATTCACCCACACCAATATACCTCTAAAAATCCGGATGTTACACAACATTTGTGATTCTGAATTTCTGGTATTTGAATTAATCTTTGTTCCGGATATAAAATGTATTTTTTTGTTTTTTTGTTATGAATACATTTTACTCTAAAATATATATATGCAAAATTATAAAAATAAATAAATAGTTATCTTATTTTTAAATAATGAATATGTGAGTTATTATATAATAGATTAATTTTCGGTTCCCTTAGGAACAGTAAAAGTTCCTAAGGGTTTGACATAATTGGTCCTTCTATTTCGCCTCTTAACCATTTTGGATTTTTTTTAACTAAAGGGTTTGACATAATTGGTCCTTCTATTTTGCCTATTAACCATTTTGGAATTTCTTTTTTTCGTTTTTTTAACTAAATAAAGTTCAACACATATCAATGTAATTGCCCAGTTTTTTCTTGAAGTTGCAATTCCGTCCCTTTTTATGTTATTTGTATTGGGTTGGTCATTCCTTCTCAATCCTTCTGCACTGCCATTCTTTTTTGATCCATTTACTCATTTCACCGCTTTGAACCTACTCCACGTCTGTTCAGGTCCAAAGCTACCATCTACGTGGTGTTTTTTTCTCTGAGCTTCTATTGCCCACGCAGGAGATAACACCGACAATATGTTAGCGATTGAATCGTCTCTCTGCTGCCACCATCAACATCTGCCGCCGCCTCCATCTATCTATCAACATCACCTAATTATATTGGTTACGAATCAGACCCTAAGAACTTGAAGGGGGCGGTGTTCACTGCGGTTTCACATGTCACGTAAGCTGAAAATGCACTCCACTCCCTCTGGTCTCAGCCCTTTTGACTACTACGTAAGTTCGTTTGCAGTTACTTTAAGGCATAAAAAATAACCTTATTTTCGTAATATTGGAATATTAGATTAGTCGGTATGCGAAAGTTGGTTTCGAAATCCACGTTATGGAAGTTCACTTTACAAAAATAAAAATTAAAAAAATAATCAATTTAGAGTACTATTTTGTGTATTATTTTGCCATTAAAAATATAACATTTAAGGAATTGATAACTGGTCTCTTTTCTAAAAATTTGCTAATTCCAACCCCTTTAATTCTTTAGCCATTTTGACACTTTTGGTCATTATAGTGAAAATTTTTATATTTTTTCATAAAAAACACAAAAAACGGTCCGGGGCGAAGCCCGGGTTTTTCCACTAGTTTTTATTATTTCATTTCTTATTTATTAATCTAACTGATGTTTAGGGGAAAATATTTGGGTGCAAAAAAATTCAGACGGCGAACCATAGAGAGAAAGTGTGAAATCCTTGGCAAGTCAAAATCTCGACCCAAATTCCAGGTAGCAGACGAAAATGGCGGCCACTGCCACAGCTTCTTCAACATTTCTCCATCTTCTTCACGATGATACCTCATCGTTATTATCTTCAAGGGGAACACGTCTTCGCTCTTCATCACTTGCCCTTCTCCCTCCACGTAGAACTTCCTCTACATCTCTCCTGATCCAGTTTTCCCCAAAATGTAAGATTTATACTTGTTCAACATTCCACGCTCAATTTGTTCATTTGGCATTCATACATATACGTCTGTGATACTGTAAGGTTTGGCAAACCCGCTATTTGTAACGGCAGCCGCGGCAGAGAAGAAGAAATCACCCTTTCAAACAGAAGCTGTTCGTCAATTGACCGGTTTTCTGACCAAGGCTGAGGGTTTTCGCTTTGCTATCGTTAGTACACTCACTATCTTTTCTCTGTTTTTCTTTCTTTCTCCAATTTCTTCCCTCTAATTATTAGTATGGGAATTTTCAGGGTCCTGGATTCATGATGTCGATTGTCTAGTTAACGCAAACCATATTAACCGACATTTTCAAGTTTAATATCATAGAATTCAATCTTTTTAAATTAACTCGTTCAACTTTCTTGAAATTTTATCAATTCTGAAATCAAATTTGAGTCCCTTTTAGCAGCATTCTTTTGCTGAACTGTTGAACATATTTATATACACATTGCCAAGTGTCTTTTCTTTGGTAATCAACATTCATGATTCAAATGTATCATGTATAACAGAGAGGGCTTGAGCTGTTTTACATTTTCAGTATGCCAACTCTTGGGTAATAGTAATTTTGGGATTCTGTAGACTATTCACCATTTACTACATGTTAAATACACAAAAATTCCTTGATAATTCAGATTTTGTTTACCTTTTGTAATATGTCTACTGCTTTTCTTGACATAGGTAGTTGCAAGGTTTAATGAAATTGTCACAAGGCCTTTGATGGATGGTGCTTTGGACACATTCAAGAAGTATTCAGTGAAGGAAGAAGATATTGATGTGTGTAATTATGTATTATCTCCATTTGTATAATTTATTGGGCCATTTTATGCTACTGTGACTAACATTATTGTGTTCATATTATTAGGTTGTGTGGGTTCCTGGTAGTTTTGAGATTGGTTTAGTTGCTGAAAAGCTTGGAAAATCAGGAAAATATCATGCAATATTGTGTATAGGAGCTGTGGTGATATATTTATTCCCAACTTTTTATATCATGTTCAATAAATCTAGCAAACAAGATATATAATATCTTACATGAAAATGGTGATTTGTGATTTTGTAGGTTAGAGGTGATACTACCCACTATGATGCTGTTGCTAATTCAGCTGCATCTGGAGTCCTTTCTGCTGGACTTAATTCAGGTTGTTTTTAACTTTATATTTAAAGCCATGATATGAATTATGATACTTACATATTGTTTGTTACAGGTGTTCCTTGCATATTTGGAGTCTTGACATGTGAAGACATGGATCAGGTATATTTTAATAATTAGTTTAAGATTTTGAGAATTGAGATATTATAATATTTTACCTTAAACAAATGATCATTATTTTTGTATTGTTACAGGCCTTGAATCGTGCTGGTGGTAAAGCAGGGAATAAGGGATCTGAGGCAGCTTTGACTGCTGTAAGTTGCTTTGACTGATGACTTTTTTGTGAAATAAAAATTGTAAATTTTTTTGACTGAAATCTTAAAAATGTATTGCAGATTGAGATGGCATCTCTTTTTGAGCATCATCTCAAGGATTAATGGTGTTTCTTCTGTTGAGGTTACATTGCTAGGAGCATCATGAGAATGCAAAGGCTATTATATAGGCAATCATTGAAGCGGAAATATTGTCTTAAGGAGATCATGTTGTTTGAATAACTAGAAGAGTCTGAATCTTTTTTTTTTTTTTTTTTTTTTTTTTTTTTTTGGTTTTCTTTTTGTGTAATTTGCAGGAAAGATTGGTGTTTTTTTGAGCACATGATGTATGTCTACATGATAATGGTGAGCGTACCAAGTTGAAAAAATAAGCTAAAATTGGAACTTGATTTAGGTTGTGTTGACACGCAAGCTATATTATTTTTTGAGTTAATTACTATGTAATATTTGGTGATACCACTTAAGTAATTAAAAAGCAACTTATCAGTTAGGTTTTCAAAAAGTTATATGTGATAGTTTATTGATAAGTTAGCTTATAAGCTAAAAATTAGTTTTCGGTTGGTATGCAAAACAATAAACATTTGCTAATTTTCATGCCATTCACTTACATTAGAAAACTTTGGTACTATTCATGTATCAAATGCCAAAATAGTATATAAATCTGATTTCATCATTAAAAATATTTAAAAAACTTTTTTAACATGGATGGAAACTAAAACAAACTTGTATACATATTTTTTGTGTTAAAGTACGTATGATCAGTTTTATACCTTAACAAATTCACTTGCATAAATTAATTTTTGTTTGGTATCCTTCTAATCTAGACCAATTTTCCTACAAGATAATTATTACTAAAAATTGTCACTTTCACTGGCATCAGAGAGGTTTAAATTTTTCATTTTGTTGTGAGTTTGGTCCAAATTGTTTTGACCTTTTTTATAATGACGATTTTATCCTTACTTTTTTCTTTTTCGGTTTTTTTTCATTAATTTTTTGATTTAAATAAATAAAAAAGCAAAATAGAAAACCAATTAACCTCTCTCTCTCTCTCTCTCCAACCAGATAACTCTTGAATGTTGTTTGAATCTTGCTGATATTTTTGATAAAAGTTCATATAAATTACATTAATTTCCTACCAAATATTATTATTTTCTAGATAACTAATTTATCCGGCAAAAACTAGTTTTCAACTAAAATTTAGTTTTTCAGCTAGTCTCTCAAACATAATTTATAAGTAAAATTGCAACTTTGAGTTGTCGAAGACCCGTTACTGATTTAAACATGCATTTAACATGACAATGAACCAGGGCTGCCATCCTAGATCACTCATACCCACATGTATGGCCCAACCATAGCTGAGCCCAACCAATCATGGCTCGACTCACTTAAACTCAAATAATTTTGATCTTTGGCCGCTTGACCCATCCAATTTTCTTTAATTTCCTTTTATTTTTTTACTTATTTTGACACCAATAATTTTTTATAGGGTTAACATTTTATTTCAAAGAAATCAACCTTATGGGTTTTTCCAATAACAATATTAATTGAGTAACATTATTTTTACAAAATAACAATATCAATTGACTAACATTATTTTTACAACCATTATTTCAGAACCTAATACGATCGTTTTATCACAAAACTTTGATAAGTGGCCTTTAAACAATTTGACTAACCATAACTAATCATTTTAATATTTGAAGTAGTAAGTTATTTCTAATGATTGTCTCAAAATCAAAGAATCAAACTTCTTTACTTTCACACTACTAATTTACTCTCAATAACTTAGCGTATGCTTCACAAAACTAGTTGGTAGCTAAAATTGTAGCTTTTATTTGTGTAAACTGTTTGATAAAAGTTGCTATAAGATTTTTAATGGTGTAAAATGACACAAAATATAAACATTAAAATCTCCTAAAAAGCTCTCATAAATTATTTAAAGTAGCTTTTGGATCATGAGTTTTTGTCTAAAATAAAAGTTTTAAGGTTGCACTCTTGAACTAAGATTTTTATTTAATTCAAGTTTTTTCTTAACCTAAAAGATCGTAAAAGCTTTCAAAAGCTCGTTGAAAAACACACCCTAATATAATACGCCCTTCGTTCGTCACCGCCACTACTTTTTGTCTCTTTCCGTTCAACACCACACCGTGGCTATGGGTGTCTATCAAAAACCATATTCTTAAATTCACCATTATAATGTTTTCACATCTTTGAAGCATCAATAATACATGATAACCATTCTCTAATCTAATTGTATTAATGTGGTTGTTGTTGTTGTTGTGTTGTTTGATCATCTCAATTTTGTGTAACATCCCAAATTACAGACAAAATATTTCATTTTTAAAACAATATAAACACCCATTTTTAATAAAAATTACATTCAAGTCAAACCATATGTTCATAAACCGTTATTCAGAAATTAGAGTTATAAAGAAGACAATGTTGAATCTTGAATCATAAAATTGTTGATGTGTGTGTACAGTCTCGTCTTCGCAATCCGATAAGTACCAGCATAATATTTAATCCATAATTGTAAACACAAAGCTTAGTGAGTTCCCCAAAATATCACATACAACACATCATAATAATCAGCTAAGGGTTATCAGCAGCTCTAGGACTATCAACAGTCTTGAATATCACATACAACACACACACTATACACAACTATTGGACTATCGTCAACTCTGGGGACTATCAGCGGTCCCAATAGTCTGACAACATGCCATGTGGATTAACAACACCTCACTGGTTATCATCAACCCTAGGGGCTATCAGCAGTCTGGGAGTTATTAACAACTCAATTCACATGTAACATCAATCTACAATTAAGACCCACCTGGTCAACATGTATATACTACCACACAGACAAGTATAGTGAGAAGACTCACCTGAACGAAATAGTAGAAGCTCAAATACATTCCAAGCAATATAACAATGAACATGAGCTACGTAAAGCCAAACCAAGACTATCCCCTTAGCTAAATACTCACTTCTACCCAAGTTTGACCAAAAGTCAAAATGGTCAAAAAGTTAACTGTAACATCCCAAAATTTAGAACCAAAAAATTTCATTTTTGATTATTAAATAAAACCATAGTTATCAAAACATCCGACAGAAACATAAGTCAAAGTATCCAAAGCATCACAATCAGAGTATCCATATCAAAAACATCAGAGTAAACATCCCAGGCTAAAACATCATGGTGTGTGTAATGCAGTCATCCCGAGCTCCTCCCTTTGCTACCGGAAGTTCCTGAAACCAAAACTGTAAATTGTAAGCACGAAGCTTAGTGAGTCTCCCCAAACTACCACATACCATACATATAACATGCAACTAGGAGAGACGGGCCCCGCCCACACTCAAGGAGATACGGGCCTCGCCCACACTCGGATAACGGGCCCCACCCTATGAAATTCAGGCCCCGCCCACGCTTAGTGAGATACGGGTCCCGACCATATTCAGTTATGTAGGAGATACGGGCCCCGCCCACACTCGGCTATCTAAGGGACACGAGCCCCGCCCACACTCAGCTAATAGTGAGATTCGGGCCCCGCTCACACTCAGCTAACTAAGAAACAAATACAAGTATCACACAGACAACAAGTATAACCAAATCTACCAATCCATTCCATATCCGTACTCAAATAATGCTAAGATATGGGCCCTGCCCACACTTAGCTACTAATCAGCACACATGGCATACACGAGCCGTCATTGGTGCTTTCGACCCGTTCAATCCAAGAGGAAACTCACCTTGAATGTCGGATGATAGCTGAAATGTCTCTGCCCGGAATCAGCTCTACTTACTCCCCGAACCAAAACAACCCCTTAGATACCATTTCATACTCATAACCCTTTAGGGTCAACTATGGTTAAAGTCAAGTCTAGGTCAAAGTCAAAGTCAAAGCCCCGAGTTGACTTAACTCGTCGAGTTTGCCATTCAACTCGCCAAGTTCCCATGAATCATAAAATCTTGAAATCGCGATCCAACTCATCGAGTTTTCCTCCAACTCGCCGAGTTCTTCCTTTTAACAGAATCGGGACACTTCGACCCAACTCGTCGAGTTCCTCTATGGACTCGTCGAGTTCTTCAGTCTGTTAGCCCTTCTTAATGCATTAATCCCTTATTCTTCAGATCTACACTCCATACTCTAGATCTAAACTGGAAATGCCTCTGGAAGGGTAAAGTTTCCAACTTTACCCATTAATACCTTTCCTAAAGGTATTAAGCTCAAACCCTAACCCAAAAAGGCCAAAGTCTTAATCCCATCACCACCAAAACTACAAGATAAACCATGAGGTCCTGGATCTGGAATCTAGGGACAAAAAGATCACGTAAAGTCCCAGCTTTCTCAACATGCATGGCCATTAGAAGCCCCAAAAGGCCAAAATGATGGTCTAAAGGTTGCATGGGACTTCCATGGCCATAAAGTTGGCACCTTTATGCCATGAGAACCCTTTAAGGCCTTAGATCTGAAATGTTCTCCACTTGGGACGTCCAAACCCCAAGAATCATATCATTTAGACCAAAAACAAGCAAGGAACTCCAAAATGGAGATCTAAAAGACCATAAGGCAAGGTTCAAGCTTTATACCAGCAAAATGTCGTGGATGAGGCAATTATTCTGGATCTATAAACTCCTTCTTGTGTAACGCCCCGATTTTCAGGTATTGGTTAATGTAAGAATTTTCTTGGTTTCAAGGTCTACTCGACAAGTTGGCTGCCCCACTCGTCGAGTAGCAGCGGGCTGGTCCGCGTGTTTTAGTGACCTACTCGCCGAGTCCAAGAAGGGACTCGACGAGTAGGAACTGAAAGATGAAACCCTAAATCCCGGGGAATTGCACCCTATTTAAAGGATCATTGGCCTTCCCCAGCCTCCCCTTTACAGTTCCTTGGCACCCTTAAACCCTAAATCGTGTGTGTGTGTGTTTCTTGGTGTCATAGAGCTTGGAAGAGAGATATTGGTGAGGAACACTTGGGGGAAACAAGTAAAATCGAAGCTGGGAACTTGTGAGAAGCAAAGATATACATCAGTTGACACTCTCTGGAAGGTATTAAGCTGTCTCTTGGGCTCATCTCATCTTTAACCTCTTTTTGGATGGGTTTTAGGAAAGGCTTTTGTGTTTGAGCCAAGATCTGAAGTTATAACTTCAGATCTGGACTCCCTTTGGTCTCTAGATCCATAAAGGTAGCAGCTTTAGCAGGTAGGAGCCTTCCCTCAAGTGTTGGACTTCATTT